AAACACAGCCAGAATCACAGATACAAACTAAAATCCTATACAATAAAAAGAGTGTTCTCAATGCGCTAAAAACCCTGCCGGCAGAAATAACTATACACTATTAAAACAAAGCTAAAAAAAATGTTTTCCATATGCTAAAATTACCCTCCCACAGTCCCATAATCAAACAGTCCAGCCACACATGGGCGAATGATCCTTATCTGAAACAGGAGAGGAATTTCTGACAGCGCGTTGTCGCATAGTCCCGCCCCACTCCACACCTGAACACGGCCTCCCTCGTCTCACCGTCAGATGCAGGCAGAGGGGCATCCCTGCCCTGTTGTGAATTGCGGCCATCGCCACCCACTGTTGCTGTTCCTGCCGTTGGGACTGGATCGCCGAACGACTCGCGGCCCCCCACAGTCAGGCAGCAGTTCCTTCAACACACGTGCGGGCTTACACGCGTTCCTTTTTCTCCCGCTCACCTTTCGTGCGTCGCTCCTTTTGTCTCTGCGCTCACTATCCCCTTTAACTGTCACGTCCGGTGTGGCAGACGTGTGGAATTGGAGATAGGACCCAAAATGCGGCAGCTCTGGTGCAGATGAGCGTTTATTTAACAAAAGAAATTACAAACAGCAATGGCGTGGGTGAAGGTGAAACAGGAAAACCTAAACTGGGTAAAACTAACAAAACAAAAACGAAGAGGCAGGGAGGTCCGAGGAAATACATACGGGGAGACCGAGGGGAAACAACACAGAACACGCTGACATAAGACACAGACTTTCACAATAAAACAGGAACTTACACATGAAAGGACACAAACTAAGAAACGCGGACTAGATACAGGAACACACGGGCAGAACAGAGTAAACACTAAACAGGAAGAACAAAACCAATAATCACACAAATAGAAAACAAAACGCTGGGTCAAAAGGACCCAGGACCATGACATTAACAGGTCAACCTGGCGGCTGATAGGTCACCTTGGGGAAGGCCCCCACCTCACAGGTGCCTACAATCGTCTGTTTAGTCCACAGTGGATTAAAGGAATATGGTACAACAACATTAACACACATAATATAAATATAAGGATAAAACCATGCAATATAAATATCACAATAAAATCATGCAAATAAAATCAACACTATGCACCAATACACAGATTGATAAAACATAAAAACACAAATTTCCACTGTGTGACATATTCATGTATAGAGTTTAATGGTAAAATTCATTTTTTTAACTAATTTCACCTTTATTAGTGCAGCAATAGCAGAGACAGGAAATCAGGGAGACATGCAGCAAAGGGACCTGAGCTGCTCGACCACTGAGCCCAGGCCAGTTGTGCAATTATGCCTACTAAGTAAACAGATTTTGTCATACTTACAGATCGGTTACTTCGACTGTATGTACAAACAATATCAGCAAGTCTAAAGCAAAACATTTCCTTCCTATTCTATGTGAGCAACTTTTAGAAAAATAAATAAGTGTAAAGAAATGTGTTGATATTACTTCATGTTAATACAAAAGTCCATAAAAGCAGGAGGTTAAAGTTTATTTATCTAACTTTTACGTTAGGTCAAAGCTGCACCGTCACAGTCAGACAGAGGAGCAGCTGCTGGCGTGTTCGAGGAGCGAGGAGCCGCTGCTGGACAAGCTGCCGTGTCTGTATCACAGCGTGGATCCAGAATCCTGGTGTGACCAGACCTCCCTGCTGACCAGCCTGCGCACCATCATCTGGGAGGAGCAAAAGAAGATTGTGTGGGTGGAGCCTGACCTGTGGTAGGGCAAGAAAAGAAGAAAAGGCAACAGAAGAAAAACTCAGAGCATTTATGTAAATAATGTAAATTTCTTAAAGGGCTTTTTGTTTACTGGATCATTTAAAAAAAATACATTAATATTAAAAGGATAAATAAGCTTTACAAGAAAACTTTTTGTAAACATGAGTATGTATCTGTGATACTTTATGAGTAACTGGAGGACCGTTTAGTGTGCATGTAGCTGCATTACTTACTGAGAAACGTGTTTTACGCTGCCTCCTTTTTTTTGACTTATTTGTTTAAAACAAACATGTGTAGTGTCCTCGAAAGACACAGGTTTTGTCATGAAACACACGCTTGCATTTACTGCATCTGTACAAAATGTAGATAATTTTTCATTTTCTATGTTTTCTTGCTTACATGCTGTGTTTTGTAAGTCACACCCTCGATTTAGAATAAAAGAATAATAATCTGAGCTGTTGTGCCACGTGGAGTTTCAAAGTGAGATTTCATTGGGGATGGTGCATTCTTTGGTGCGAGTGTGAAATGAAGTGCTGTAAGTACAGATGAGTGAATGTTGTTCGTCGTGTACGGGACAGTGCACGCCGGGCACTATTACAGGTGTTTTGTTTGTTTTTTTTAAATTAAGCACAGCTGCAGAGCATCATGTGATTGGTTTAGCTTGTCACAAACAGCCTGTTCCTTTAATTTTTTGAGCAGTGTATTACCTGTGTTAGCAGTAAATCTAAACAATATCAAAAGACATTGCTGACGTGTAGAGGAAGTGAAGAAAAATCTCTCCAGGATGTAAATAAATCCTCCTGCAAATATCGAAAAAAGGAAGGAAAAACACAAAAAGAAACTTGTCAACTTTTGCACAGTAACACGTTTCTGTGGAGCAGATGTAAAGAAGTCTTATTCCTTGAATCCGTCCCTAAAGCCCCTCACTGGTGCCACACTGTTTGTCACAGAAACTCTCAGAAATTTTCATCCAGATTGGTCCACTTGTCTATGAGGAGGGGAACATATAAACATGTATAGACGCACTAGAATCATTATAGTAGGATTATTGTTATTATTAGTGAGCAGTGTATTTAAATGTTCATTGGTCACATTCATTAATCAACTGAAAGCTTTTTCAAGCAGAGACCCACAGCATTTATAGAATGTGAGAATTTGGTGTCTGCCTATAAACTTGTATTATTTATTGATCTAATGGAAACATGGACAACAAACCAGATGTTAATCCAACAAGTTTATTATCATGGAAATTTAGGAATTTCATTTAGGAAATGAAATTTAGAAAAATACGTGTGAACTATGCTTTGTTTTCTTTAACCCGTTCTTTTAAAGACTAAGCTTTGGGATGTGAGGAGA